TGGGGGTACGGGCTTTTGACCCATGGCCATCTGTCGGTGGCACTATTCCCGGCCGCAGCAATGCGTATTGGCCATGGCCAGTTGTCTGAACTGCAAAATGTGCAACCTCATCGCCTGTCAACTGGCAATCTTCTGAGCACAAAAGGCATTGAAGCACACACATAGCCATCGCCCAGGTCAAAAGCAAAAAGACATGGTCGCCACGGAAAGACTCGCAGCCCAAGTTCAGAGCCTCCCAGAAATTCGGTGGACCCAGTTCACAAAAAAAAGCTCTTGGAAACCTTCGGGATCATCTAGTTCTACTAGAATGTTCTGGAACCCTCAAATGCTTTGTGGATATTCAACTTGCGGCGATTCCTCCAAGACTTTGCGAAAAGCTAAGCCTAAAGCTACTTCAGGATGTTGGTGAGGCCAGATCTGCTCCGAAACCTGTGGCTGCAGAAGACTAAGCACTCGCTGCTCCGGAAAACAGGAATTATATTTGATTCGGATGAAACTTGCGGTTTGGCATCCCCGCCAGGCTCGTGGGAAAACAAACGGCCTGAGTTGACTTCTGACGGGGGCCCTGATTCAAGAGGCTGCCATCGCGTGATTTTGCTGGCAAGGTCCCGGGGGCCCCTAGATAAACGGCACCCAAGTTGCGGCCGATGAGAACAATGGAATCGAAGCATCGCTAAACGTGACACAATTCAGAAAAGGCATAAAATCAGGCGCTAGCATGCCTTTCTGTCATGTCTGCATGTTTCATAGCCCCAGTTCACCCCACCGCTGCCGTGTTCGGCTCCAGTTCCGCAGCCACGCGCCGGAGTTCGGCCCGCAGCTCGGAGCTCTGCGCCTCCGCCTGCGGGGCGGAAGGGCCCAAGGTGCCCGCCCCGGCCCAGGCTCTGGTTGGGAGTGACGTGGGGCTGGGTGCACTGGGTGGACGGGACCATGGGAAATCCTGTTTGGTGCTGCGTGGTTGAAGCTCGAACAAAACCAAATCTAAAGCTCGTACATGCAAGTTTGTCAGGAACAGAAGCCTTGTTGTCAGAGCCGAAGCAACGGCCCTCAAAGCTCTTGTCTTGACCCTCGCATGTCGGTCTCAATCATGGAATGTGTTGTCATTCCAAAACCAAACTAAAGGATCCCCTGTTTCTGGGATCCTGCATCCGGGCGAGCTGTGCAAGCCTGGGTTATAAAGGACCGGCGCCTTAAATAGTGTGGACAATTCAGGTGGATGGTGTTCAAGCAAACGCCAACATGCAGAAAAAAACAAAAACACTGAAAGGGGAATGAAGATGCAGCACATCGTGAGCTCGCAACACGATGTGCCCAAAGAAAACCTCTGATCTGAGGACAGAAAACCAGCAAGGCCCATGCTTAAGGGCATATCAGAGAAACCGGCCCTGCCTGAATGTGGTCTTTGTTAAATCCAACGCGCCCGCATGGGGACTTTCTTGGCTAAGCTGTTTGCTGCCCTTTCCCAATTGACATGACATCTTGACAGGGAGGAGACGTGCGGATGGTGACGAGCTACTTCATAGTATTGTTTCTTTTAAACTAGCCTTGCCCACCCCTGAGAGCAAACTGTCTCTGTGATCTTCACGCGTTTCTGGCTTGAAGCACCATCGCCTTCTCCACCTTGGCGGTCTGACGGCTGAGCTGGTTCTGCAGCTGCTCTTTGGCCCTCGGCCGTTAGAGGCTAATGCCGAACCCGGAATCAACCTCGTGATCGCTCCCAACAGTGGAGCACCTTCTCATAAACCATTTGTAGGAAACCCACGAAAAATGGGATCTAAAGGGTGAAATCCATTGAACAACTTGTTTTTGCTGGGGTTGCGTTTGATTTTTGCATTTGAAGCCATCCAACAGGAGGTTCTGGAATTGCCCAGTTCTGCGATACGACTGAAGTCCTTCCAAATGACAAACTCATTACTTCGGTCCAGAAATACAAACCAAGTCCTCACTCCCCCAACCCTCAAGCAGAAATAAAACAAGCAAACACAGAAGTAGCCCTTCAAAAGATGTTAAAAAGCCCGAGCTGCATTTCTATCCAACAGGACCCAGCCCTCCGCCCACCCTCCCGGGCCTGTCGCTGTCCGACTGCAGCTGCTCTGCCCGGCGCAGCTCAGCGGCACCCGCCTGGTCGGTAGGTGGGCAAAGAATCTTGATTCGCAGGGAGAAGTTGTAAAACAAGGATTTGCGCGACGATTGAACTGTTCAACATGAAGTGCTGGCCAATCCTACTCGGAAGAAGGGAGGGAGAAGCAATGAGAAATGGGAGGTTGGATTTGTTCCCGACAAAATTTGAAGGTGCTGCGGTTTCCCAACACTCATGGAAGCTGAGACGGCTCAAAGGATTGTTGCCTCGCCGTGCAGTAGCTGTCATGCTTTCTTGGCGAAAGCACAAGTTTGTCCATGCAAATGCTTCCGCTTCGGACATCTCGAAGTGCGTCATGTTAGGGCTCGCAACCATCGAAGCACAACTTCTTGCAACATGCCATCCAAGCTGGATAGCAGAAGCGCAACTACCGGGTATGGGGGCATGCACTAGGGCAACAAGCTTTCCGGGAAAGGAGTCTTCATCATGGAGAAGGTCGCAACCCCTGTTTGAGGCAGCTATTCTTCCATGCCCAAATTCGATCCCCACGTAGCCCTTTGCAACAGGTGGCCTATCAAGCCTCACCGAATGGGCACCCAAAGTCCTGTTGAATTACGCACGTGCTTGACCACAAGCACCTGGCATTCGCGCCAAAAACAGAATCTAAAAACTGCGCTTCGGCCGGGCTTGGAGTCCTAATTGCTTTCACAGCCAGGTTGACCAAAGGCAAAAGCTGGCAACTGGTTTGAACCAATGCCAAAGCTCAAAGCCATTCATCAACTGCCCGGCTGTCCCGAGTCCCAAGTCCTTCATACGCTCTTCCACCGACTGCACACGCCGCGACATCTTGGTGCCCTCCAGGATAAGGTTCTCCTTCTCCGCCTGCGGATGGATCAATTGAAAGCGGCAGCTTAGGCATACAGGACCTGGGATACAAGGCGGGCAATACCAGTGTCACACACAACATCCTTCCACTCAGACTTGTTTTGTGGGCGAACACTGAGGTGTTCGGTGTGAGTTGCATGGGTAGGCGAGGTCGGCAAAAATCAACGTGTGGGCAAACAACATTGACGTCACACCAAACACGCAAGCCACGAGATGCCATCTTTTGATACAGGCACCATCAAGAAAGAAACATGGCTTTAAATGACTCCTCCAATATCTGGTCAAAACTACCTAACAAAAATACGCAGTCCGCCTATTAGGGAACATGAGTCAGTAGCTGTCTTTGCCGAGAAGGGGAATCGTGCTACTACTTTGCACTGATGATCTTGGCGGTCAACTGGCCTGGGAGCACACCGTTGAGAAACCCCCCTGGTTTGGCTTCGGTAGCGAACACAACCACCTTGCGGGGAAGGCAGTGCTCGAATTTGCAGCATCTCGCCATACAGGCCTTACGGGCTTGGCTGCCCTTGTGGCCAAAATTCCTACTATCCGAATGGACACCCCTAAGCACCAAATGTACCGTTGATTTCTGAAACACCCAAAGGGAACCAACTGGTTGCTTCCTGAATGTCACTTACAGAACTTGCAATCACGCACTCGCAAGCTTTCTGCCTTCAGCTTCTTGTTCTCCATCAGCAGGCGCTCCCTTTCCGTCATCATTGCCTCCAGCTGCTCCTCGCTGCAAAGCAGAAGGAAGCACAGGGCGACAAGTGTGGCTTGCCACACGGACGAGGATCCCCCCCTGCGTGGTCAAGGAACAACATTTTGCCCGGCACCAAATACAATTGCCGGTAATCGACATTCCATGCTGCAATGTGAGCTGTGAATTGAGAACCGTATGCGTGCCGGATTCTTCCCTCGGAATTGGCGTCAGAGCGCGGACTATAACACAGACAAGAGGCCATGAGCATGGCATCTAAACACTGCTCTTAAGCTTCAATCCATGTTACACGCGAAGAACAGCAAACTTTGGCAGTGGAATGGCCCGTAATTATGCAACAACAAAGCCCTTGCCAATCTGGGGTGTTGCTCACCCGAGACAAAACGGTTGTAGCGGGCCTTCGTTTGACATTCCGGGGACCTGACGTGTCCACGGCTAAAGTGTGGCAAGGCTTTCTGCAAGCATACAGTGCTGAACACCTGGCCGTTTGAACCCAGCGCCAGCGTGCAGCCGCATTGCCGCACCTAGTGGCTGCCACCCACCGAGCTCCCTCCTGCGTCTGCTGAGGCACCTTCTGCTGCACCTGCAGTGACAACGCATTCTGGCAGTTTGAACTGCCAGTGTGCGAACGCAGGTTGCACATGCGCCCTGATTCGCATATGCAAACATGGGCCTCTATCCTTGAGCAACCAGTGTGGATCATGCAGTAGCATTAAGGCCCTTCAGGCTGCTGGTGCCTGAAGCGGGCTTCTTCCAATACAAAAGTCAAGCATGAACCAACTCAGAATTGACCCTATGAGCCGCTGACCCCTGCAACCGCAAACCGGCCCTGTCTCTTCTCGCCAAAGCGGGCAGGGGGTCGGGTGGGGCCGGGGGCCTTGACTTCCTCAGGCACGGAGGCAGCCTCGCTGGTGGGGCTGAAGTCCTGAGACTAAGCAGGCCCGAAACCAAACAGCCACCTTTGGGGCGCTCACCCATCAAGGCATGCATACACAGACACATGCATATGTACATATATATATATATATGTATTGTTTCTTGGTTTATCACATTGAACAATGAACATGCACATTGTCATGTCGGACAAAATAATCCACATGTGCAAAGTCAAAACAATCGCACTGCGTGCAAGGCTCGGCTCCTAGACCTGGTAACCCCTGCAAATGAAACCAACTACCAGTTTGACACAGGCCCAGGCGAAGCATCAGCTACAAACCTGGTAGGTACCTATGGTACCTCCTACTTCTGAAGTCTTACTTGATACCCGGTTCCGCTGGGACTGGGGCCTCTCCGTTGCTCAAGCTAGTGGACTTAGATGAGTGCCTCTTCTAGGGAAACGCGTGCGAAAGAAGCTGGGCAAAGGAGCGAGCAAAAGCAGCAACCGCATGTCGCTTGCATCTCTTGTGAACCCTGCCGCAACCTGAGTTGCCTCTTGCCCACGCTACCGTGACCATAATATTCATGAATAAATGGACAGAGGCACCTGTGCTTGCGACTCGCCTCTGACAAAACGGTGGCCGAAACAATTGCCGTTGACTGCCCCTTTATATTGCCAGGCTGACATCTCGCCATCCATTCGCAAACCTTGGCTTTCCGCTCTGTTTCGCCCAAGCGTCAGGCCGCGGCGACACCTGGGAATCAGTCAATCGATAGCTGACACCCCAACCCACGCATGCGACATGGCCTATGCAAATGTGCACAGCCAGGGTACGATTCGCTAGCGGAAGGTACATGATGTTGAAAGGCACTACTACAACTTAACTAGCCTAGTGCAGGGAAGCGGTTCACGCTGCGCAGGCACCATCGCGGAAGAATTTATACTTCTTTGCACTGAGCATACCATCATTCTGATGAGGAGCCTGCAAGTTGCACCTAGCACAATGCCTCGAACCGGTTCGTGTGGTGGTGCTGCGGGCGTTGCAAGCATGCAACTTGTTCGAGCTTGTCGGGGACTCAGCTTGCGGGATCGGGGGACCCAGAGTACACCCTTTATTTGGATTGCCGCGGCTTGGTCCCAATTTATTCTGTTGAAGGCGCGAAAGATAGCATGGAGCAGCCAATTTTGCAAGGTACGCTCTACAAGGAAAGCACTTCATGCAAGCCCCTTCGAAAAGGGATTGTCTTTAGGCTTTTTGATTAGTACCTCCTGTTTTGTCTGAGCAGTGCTGTTGCTTTGGTCAGGGCCCGATAGCTCAGCAATCAAACCATTCCGAACCAAGACGATGTGTTCAAATCACTTGCGACGGTTCTCAACCGCAGGGAAAGTGCGTGGCTTTGAGATGCCTAGTGATTCATCACTAGTCACTAATAGTGCCAATCATCACCAACCACCCAAGAAAGCCATCACCAAACAGCTTCCGCTTTTGAGCTTCGACTCGGATTGGACTGCCACATGAACACCAAACAGGCAAAACGTCAATGTGTTTTGGACATGTCATGTCTAAAGTTGCCAAACTCCCATTGTAGTGGGAAGTCCCTTTGGGACGAATTGGATTAGACACTGCGACCCGCCGTTTCGATTTATTGAAATTCGGAGGGGTACCCAAGTTGGGTACATGGTTCGTCCCATACTTGAAAACCCCATGTTGGATGATGTCTCAAGTCCAAAAAGGAACTACCCAAACACACAAGACATATTCTCTACATCGGGCTTGCTTTAAACAAGCCGGCTCGAATCCCAAACGGCGCTCGCTTCGCCGCACGGTGGCCTCCTTCTTGTCCACGCGCAGTGCAGCGCCCTTCTCGGCAGCACCCCTCAAGCCCTGTACCACCTGCATTGTCGAGATCTCCTGAGCCAACGCGTGACTCAAATCTGCGACATGGCCTGTGGTCGGAAGTGTGCCAATGGGCCAACATACCCGTGAATAACACATCCTTTTCTCAAAAGTGCTGCTGGGAGCAGCGAATCCTCAGGCATCTTTAAGTCTTTAGCTGGAAACCGACATCAATATTGAAGCAAACAAACCAACCCCCCCCCCCCCCACACACCACACACACACACACACAACGCAAGCACGGTAAGCCAAGCGAGACTAAATTCGGAAGTCGACTTGTATTACACCAGCTTCGCTAAACCAGCCCAACAACCTGTATAGCCAGAAACAAACAGATTGAACTACATTACAGTAAACTAAAACAAACCAGACCTACCTTGACCTTAGCTCACAGCACTATGCTGTACTGATTGATTGACCTCGTCGAACTACAGAATCTGAGACTGCTGCAGGTCAAAAGAAAACTCAGCACTTACACCCACATGCACGCAATTCATCATGTAGACTCAATTGCTGTTATGAGTTCGCCCCTGCGCTAAAAGTCGCAAAGGAACCCAAGCTAAGCTAGCAATATTAGCTGACTTGCATCAACCAAATTTGCATTCCTTAACACTACCCGCACCAAAGTAAGCTTGGCTTGAGTTGACCTTCCCAAACTGACTTACCTGTTTGCCCCGGGCGCCTTAGCATGTTTCCCCTGCCGAGTGGAGACCTCATTCGCCGATAGATACCTGCTGCCCAAGCCGGCCTTAGGTAATCGTCAAAAGCCTGGCCCAAAGTGATATCGAACATATAGCTGGGAAGTGACAAACAACACCCCACTTTATGAAGGGGAGTTGGTTGAGGGTGGGAGGGAGAAGGCCACCACCCCGGGAATTCAGGGGAGAAGCCCCTTTTCTAACTCCACTTTGGGTTGGCCATGGGGTTCCCAAGAACCGTTGACCCCGTACCTCAACCAAAGACGCCTTTTGGGTGGGTAATCAGGGCTGGGCTGAAAGTTTAACTGTTAGTGGCAGTGGAATGGAAACTGCCACTAAACACTAAAAAGCCAAAAGGCTAAGGGGATGACTGGGAGCCACCAAGAGGGGGTTTTTGCTGGCCTCCTCTGAGCGGATTGCCTCCTCAAAGGACTTCTCCATCTGCTCCCGTATGCCTCCGAAAAGCCCCGCTTGCAACCAGCGACCCAAAGGGAACCTGTTTTGGGATGGCCCGTTTTCCTAGCAACGTGTGGGAAGTGAAGAACTGGGGACACCTCCAAAAGGTGGGAATGAATCCGCTTTTCCTTCAAAACCATCCAACATAAAAACCCCAGTTCCAGACCCCCACCCTCGCGGTGCCCCAATGGAAGAAAAGGACTTGTCAAAGAGGGAGCCACACCTCCGAAAAACAGGGAGAAAGGGTGCGAGTGAAGAGGGGACACGTTTGCAGTTCAAGAACGGACAACAAAATACAAGTAGCATGGAGCTCCTATCTTCAGGCAAACCATTCGCAATCTGCCGAGCTTTCTTGTTCAGCCGCGGAAGCAGTGCGTAGGCTGGTGCTTGGGTTCTCAGAAATAGGTAACGAAAAGGGTGGGTGGCTTGCCGGTATCGCTTTAAAAGCACAGCACCGGTTGCGGCCCAGGCAAGGTGCCACCAACCGCCAACTCACAGGTCTGAGCGCTCGCCTTTTGTGTAGGACGCTCATTAGTTCAATGCAAAATCTGGGAGTAACCGGCTAGCCACGCATTGTCTCACAGGAGTCGATTTCGTTTGTTCACTCTCTGCAAGGCTGCCAAGTCCCCCCCACTTTCCATCTCACTGCAGGGGTCTCAGAACAGCATCCAAGTGTGGGTTGTTTGGTTGCTTTGAGTATTGCCAAAGAGTAGAAGTAAAGGAACCTATTCCAAGCTGCCCCCCTCTAGCTGCAGTCTTCGCGTTGACCCCAAGCCTTTGGCCGACGCCTTCCCAGGAAACCTGCGACAAAAAGAGCTTCTGTTGTAATACCGACATGATCGCAGGAAGGGCTAAAAATCGCCGCTGAAAAGGCCGTGCCAGTCTTTGAGGCAGACTGAAAAAGCTCGCCCGAGCACATGGCGCAGCATCAAAAGAGGATTCTTGCCGCGCCTATCTACCTAAACTTGTTAACCCGGGTGTTGATTCTTCTGGGCCTCTAAGCCCAGATTCCCAGCCAAACAAAGAACACATATCCGCCATGCCAAATATGCCTTTCAATGAATGAAGCTGGCAGTTCTGCAAGACCAAAACCCGGCCTGCCAACCCCTCCTGCCCCGAAAGCCCCGTTCTGCGCAACCGCTAAGCGGGCGCCTTCAGCAGCACCATGCAAGGTCTTCAGGGTCTGCAGGCCGCTGCTCAGGAAGCCCCCGCCCCAGCCGCCGGACTTCTCCTTGCGCGGATCCGCCTCCCAGAAAAGCCGTCTGGTGGCCGTCTGGTGGCCGCCGTGGCCTTGGGAGCTGCCAATAGCCCTTCGCACTTACTAATCCCGCTGGAGGGTGAAGGTAACTCTTCTCCCAACACAAGGGACGATTTGTACAAATTCAAAACGCAGGCGTGCCCCTCCAAGCCCCACCTTGGAGACCGATTGCGCCGCAGGTTGGGCCGCCTCCGAAAGCAAGGAATGCAACTTGGACCATGGGCTGAGAGCCTTTTTCCCGGGCCAGGAAATGGTCCTGCGGAGTTGCGTCGGGCTTCACAAGGGACATGTTTGCTTCAAGAGGGCGATGGCTCCGCTTGTTCGAACAAAGGCAGAAGTAATGCTTTGAGTCAGTTTTGATTGGACATCAGGCTCTCTTTGCCTGTCCGATT